TTCTCGGATGTAATCAGGAGGAGTGAGAGCGGATGCTCGTGAACCAAAGGGCTAAAGAGTGAGATCTGTCAGATTGTGATGCGAGGAAGCAAAGTTTATATTGGTCTCTCAGCGCCGGATCGTATAGCTTGGTTCGCTATAAGGAAAGTACTTTTCGCAAAACCTGTTATGTTTACTTTAAAAGTTACTTCGTTATGAATTTTGTAATTGACACGACGCATTGGGTTAACAATGTTTCCGCAGATTTTTCGAGAATCCTTTCCGCTTAGTTTTTGATTCTTCAGTGATGGTTTTTTCGGAGTCACTCGCGGAGTTTAACCAAAATTTATTTCACCGAGATTTAGTCGCAAAATGTTTTAGCGGGTTTCTAGGACGGAATGAATCACATAATCAGCAATAGGATCAGTCGGCGAGAAGGGAGGACGTGTTCTCTATTGCTGCTTTGTGTTCTCGATTTTTTCTTTCGCCGCAAATGTTCTTAACATTATTCCGTGACTCACTTGGTTTGACGGAAAATGAGATCAATGCTTTGATGCCTAAAGATTTCTCGTATAATTTTTCGATTCTTATAAGACACTTGTTTTATCAAGTTCGAGAAGATCTTTATGACTTCGGCAAATTATCGAGTTTCACCCTGAAGTTTCGCAGAGATTTTCTAACCGCATGGTTGCGACGAGAGATGCTGTATAGTCCTCGAGATTATTTCCCAGACAGTTTGGATCAGTCTTTAGCGCTTAGATGGTTTTTAGATTGTCGTTTGCTTTTGGGATGATTTCGACGAGGCGTTGCGTCGTTCGAATATTTTTCCGCTTATTTTAGAAAGCGTTTTCTTGATGCGAGGAAAAATGTTCGGCGAAAGAAGAAAAATGGGTTTCGTTTGAAGGATTGGGATGATCGACAATCCAGGTCGATTAAAGACCATGGTGGATCGGAGATGACTTGGAGTATGTCTGATTTACGAAAACTTCTAGGAGCGAGTCGGTTTTAAGACAACGTCAGCGTCTCTAGCTCCCTCTTTCTTTTAGGAAATGAGTACGTTTGAATGCGTGGCGATCGTTTCTCAGTTGTACGAGAGATTGGATCGGTTTGCGAGTTATGCCTGAATGGTTAGAAAACAAAAAATCGAGATAGACAAAAATTGCTTACGACTTAGCATGCTAGACTATCCTCTAAATTCTAAGTTCTCTAGGTTTCACGGCAGTTTACAAGACGTTTTCGTTTCTTATCTACGAGAAATTAGAGGTCTAATAAAATTTTCAAATCGGACATACCTTAGTTTCATCGATGAGTTGGGATCGTCTATTCTTCGTTCTTCGTCTTTTGACTTACCGGTCTTCGACGAATTACCGACAAGAGTATCGGAGCGGGGAGAAGACTTAACCATCGGAGCTCATGTTCTTGTTTCTTCGTACTGCTGGTTTTATTTGGCCGACTAGGTGCGCTTCGTATATCGAAAAAATCAATCACGTGTTAATGATTTGTTCCGCAGTTTCTGGGAGAGAAAATTTTATTTTTCCGAAAAGTTCTCGGAAAACGTCTTTTGCTCAACCCGTGAGATTTGTCCAAATCGAAAAGAAGAAAAACACTACGGGGTTTGATAGATTTTATCGTTGCCCTTAGTGATCTGAGATAGAAATCGTGAGCTTGTTTTGTTGCTCTTCCCGTGGCGAAGAGTCGCGATTAGGTTTTCGATTTTGTTGAGTGCTACAGCATTTGCGTGTGCGTTGGCTGTACGAGTAGTCGCTGCTGGAGTTGTTTTACCAGCGTTTTTGCGAATTGCGACTTTGTCTTTTATACATCCAGACATTGTTTTGGTCAAGCGTTTTGCGGCTATGAGTAAGAGTAATCCGACCCCCCCCCTCCTTCTAGCGCCAAACTGTGGGAACCGAAATTCACACTTGTCGATTTCCGTTAAATAAGGAAACTTAGGAAAACCCTAATTTTCCAGAGGAACCGGATCTCTGCGAAAGCCAATAACAAGTAACCAAATAAATGCGGAAAACTATGAAAAACGTAATAAAACGAATTTAAAGAAAAAGTAGATCCTATTTCGATTTCGCGTAAGAGCGTTGCGATCATTACAAGGGTTTACAAAGGCTTTGGACGCAGGGCCGTCAGCGAATTATCAACATAAAAACATTAAACCTAATCGAGTCGCAGCTCGATAACAAAAGACGGAAAAAGGTAGGAAAAGGATTTGAATGATTTTGGACTGAACCTTATGAAAGGCTGCCTACGTACCCCTTTCAAGGATCAAGTCGAACGTAGTTCAGTTGGTAGAGCTGGACCAGAGATCGAACTACCTGGTCGAGTTCGTCTAGTAATTGAGCGCCAATCATAGAAACCGAACTTGTCGAGAAAAAGCCTGAGTTTCTAAGTGCGGAAAATTCTAAGTCTAGAAAAGTTGTGAAAGTCTCAGATGAGAGCTCTCGATTTCGTCCCTTTGCTTCTGCCCTATGCCTCTTGCTTATATACTCCCTTCCTAGGCGGTTTAGTCTTTCCATTTCGCCCAGATTCGAGTTTAATGGGAATCTTCCATTTATCTCAATATTTCCTTTTTTCCCATGCAAATCTTCTATTTATCCTCAAACATGACATTTATCTTCAAGTTTGACATTTATCTTCTTTTTGCGAGTAAATCGCCAAAACGTCGTCGTATCTTCGGGTTGGACTTCGTTTAAAGTCGCGAGTGGCTTTTATCGCGTTTTATGACTTTCCGAGCCGTTTTGCGATAAATCCATTTTACGACTTTAGATGAGATCGTTTCCTTATACGATGTCGTGACTAGTTCGCGTTCTGCGGCGGTTTCGGTTTTTCGCGGTTTTGTAAAACAATTTCTCGAGTCTTATAAAACGCTTCTCGAGTTTTATAAAACGATCTTCGAGTTTTATAAAACGACCTTCGAGTTTTATAAAACGACTTCTCGAGCTTTATAAAATGATCCTCGAGTTTTATAAAACGATTTTCGAGTTTTATAAAACGGCTTCTCAAGTTTTATAAAACGATTCTCAAGTTTTATAAAACGATTCTCGAGTTTTATAAAACGATTCTCGAGTTTTATAAAACGATTCTAGAGTCTTATAAAACGATTCTCGAGTTTTATAAAACGGTCTTCGAGTTTTATAAAACGATTCTCGAGTTTTATAAAACGATTCTTCGAGTTTTATAAAACGATTCTCCAGTTTTATAAAACGATTCTCGAGTTTTATAAAACGATTCTCGAGTTTTATAAAACGATTCTCGAGTTTTATAAAACGATTCTCGAGTTTTATAAAACGATTCTCGAGTTTTATAAAACGATTCTCGAGTTTTATAAAACAGTCTTCCAGATTTATAAAACGATTCTTGAGTTTTATAAAACGATTCTCGAGTTTTATAAAACGATTCTTCGAGTTTTATAAAACGATTCTTGAGTTTTATAAAACGATTCTCGAGTTTTATAAAACGATTCTTCGAGTTTTCTAAAACGATTCTTCGAGTTTTATAAAACGATTCTTGAGTTTTATAAAACGATTCTTGAGTTTTATAAAACGATTCTCGAGTTTTATAAAACGATTTCTTTTATATTTTCTGCGGAGACTTTTGCCATTGATTCCGTTGTGACCGATTTTGACACCAACAGTAGTGTGATTTAGTTTCTATATTTCCTTCTAGTAAAAATTCTGTCAACATTTGGCATACATAATCCATACATTTTTATTTCAGATTATAATCTACATTATTTTCCAAGACATGAGCACCTAAAGATAATTGATAATTACGAATGAACTTCAGGACATCCATCGTACAAGGATTTTAGTCTCCTTCTAAAAAATCGTTGAACTTCTTCGAATGGTTTCTTATCGGATCTACTACATTTTGATCACTACCTTCCTGTTGATAGTTATCGAAACTCACATTATCATGAAATGTATCATTTACCATATCTACATATATCCATCTTGATTATCAACTTTTTCATGATGTGTTGTCAGTTTCACATAACTCGTTTCTAATATCACATCAGTTTCTTCTCCATGCTTATACCAAGTCTGGCATAAATCCTATAATATATATATATATATATATATATATATATATATATATATGTCTATGTTTACATATTTTGACCCTGGTAGAAATTTTTTGTTCCCGCAAACAGTACATGGACAGAAAAATATTCTGTTATTGCTATGCATTAGAGAATGACTATTTGCAAATGCCATACATTGTTCCACCCCCGCTTTGAGCTCTTCCAAGAAATTTATCATCTCTTCATCGATTCTCTTGTACATTCACTCTCAAAAATTTGTGTAGTTGTAATTTCTAAACATTGTAGAACAACTTTCATTTTTTAGTTTTTTTGTATAAAAGTATTGAGAAACAAGTAAAGTTTGTATATATATAAATTTTTCCAACTAAGTAACGACCAATTACCAACTGCTTTGTAAAATTAGGTACACCAACCATAAAACGTTAACCATGTGTTTTGTATCAATTTTTACCAACTGATATATGACCAGAGCAATAAGTCGCATAGTAGTCGCACATATACGACTGATCTGCGACTAGTATGTTCCAACGACATAGTAGTCGCACATCAGTCGCAAAATAACGACTGATATCCGACTAATGTAGATAGTCACAGATTAATGACTGATGAACGGCCAATTATTTGTGCTCGCAATTACGTCGCAGAACAGTCGGAAATTGGTCATAATCTTTTATGATTACGTAATTAGTCTGAAATCGTAGGTTTTCTTTTAGTGCCACTTGTCCATTAACTACTTCAGAGTTCTCTAACGGCAAACTTTTTGGAAAAACCCATTGTTTTTGCTTTGTAACCTTTGCTTAACCATGTCAGACTCAACCACATCAGATTACTCACTTCCAAGTCAATAGATAGATATTTGGTATCTATCATCCTTCACTTACCAGTTTTTGACCGGGAGTTCTAATTTCTAACCTATGCACATGAGACTAAGGATCAGATCATTAGTATGAAAATGAATTAAACGAGCCCCGCTCAAATTATATATGGCCTTGTGTTGTCAAAAAAAAAACTAATCAAATTTAGGGTCTACAAATTTTAACAAAATAAAAATAAAAATATAAGACATATACAATGAAAAACTAAGAAAAATGTGGGGTTTTGTGCTTTTTCACTCTCAGCACACGTCCTAAGAGGGGTCTGGCTTAAATACCCCTTGAACCGGGGATATCAATCCACTCAAGCTGTATCTCCACTTCTCCACATTCCACGTGCTGGAGCCTAAGGAACATATTCTGAACAAGCTTTCCTTGGTTCAACACAATATGACTCTCTTCAGACAAACAATTTTGTCTGCTCGGTTGTATCTTCATTATTATCGTCCCATCAGGAAGTCCTCCTTCGAGCGTATGGCGGAATTTAATGGCTTCAAGATAAGTAGCAATGCTAAAGTCAGCTTCACCCATTTTGTCATCCGCCGAGAGCAAGTCATAGTCATAAACCGTCTGTGTGAATAATTAACAACCAAGAATGCTTAATCTCTAGTAAAGCCAGCTAATTTAACATTCATGCTAACCAAAAATGTAATAGTCACTTACAAGTTTAACAGGGAGATTTGGATCAGTCACAGAAAGCGTTAAATGGTCGTTCCACTCTGGGTTAAGACTTTGTTTCACTACGCGTGTTTTCAGCTTCTGCATCAAAACAAATCACAAAAAAGGACAAAATTAAAAAATGCTTTTGATTGATCACAAGGCAACGGAGGTCCTCATTTTCAGTCATATTATGGTGGAACCAGAAGATTTGTTAGGGAAGAAAAGAAGAAAGAGAAATTCCGAGATAGAGTGAAAGATTACGAATATACCAATAAATCTTATGGTACAAGTAGGCTAGATACAAAGTACCAACAAACTTTTATGCAATTATCTTTACAAGTTATGTTGGAACAGACGCATCACAAGATTTATTTAGAAATGGCATCATAATCGAGTCTTTTACCTGTTTTCCTGAGTGAACGACGACATAAGGATCACTGCTTGAGATATCTCTAATGGCGAGATTCACACCTCTCTTCACATGAATTCTGAGAAGCCCCAATAGATTGTCCATTGTTTTTTCTGGTCAACAGCAAACTTGTTTTTTCTGTGAATTAAACTTGTCTCTCGAGTTACTATATATATATAGCGGCTTCAGAAGAGAGAGGAAAGGATCGTTCATAAATTCCTATGGTTTACACATCAATAAGAGACAAATTATTCTATTAATTATTCATTCTCGTAAGAAATATGGAAACTGTTTTATTTGTCACCTTTAGCCACCTTTGACTTTGTCTATATGGCTGTCTCTATTGGACAAAACGACATTTTACATTATTAATATCAGTATTACAAAAAAAAAAAATCATTATTAATATCAGCGACGCGTAATGCCCCTTTACAAATCACAATTACTTAGTTTGGTTTAATTACCATAAATATCATTAAATGCACTTTGGCAAAAAAAAATTATGCTACACATTATTTGGTCAACCTTTCCAAAAATAATTTTTTATTTCCTTCTTTTGTGTAAATTAGTTCATTCATAAAATCAAACACAATCCTTAATTTGTGCATATTCTTCTTTTGGTTATTAACAATGTCAGATTTTATTTTTGTACTTCACTAGAACAGATAATCTCTAGAATAATTTATTATAGTTTATTTTCAAAAAAAAATAAAAGAAGAAAATGTCCACAATTTTTTTTACTGAAAAATAAATATAATTTTATATCCATAAAATTAACTAAACATTAACTTAGGGTTTAGAGTTAAGGAGTGAAATTGTAAAGGTGAATTGTAAAATTTTAAATAAATATTAAAAGTTAAAAAGTTTCAAAATAATTTTTGAATTTCAAAAAAAAAAAATTTAAGAAAAAAGAAGGAATTCTTTTAAAATTTTAAATTCAAAAAAGTAAATTTATGAAAAAGTTCAAATTTAAAAACACACCATTCAAAATCTTTTTAGTTATATACATTTATATATCTGTAAGATGAGAGGTATAATTTTTTTTGTTTCTTTAATGAAACGTCTTTTAGTCTTTTTCTAATTGGAGGCTAAAATTGGTGATAAAAAATTTGAAAATAGAGAATTTGAGAGAATTGCCTTACTTGAATTGAAAATTTTATTTTGAAAATTGCCCTTATCACACACATTTCTTTTTGTATAAATTAGAACTAAAATTAAAACTTTTTGTTTGTAAGATAATTTTATAACTCATTAAAAGTACAAAAAACAAAAATTATTTATAAATATCTCTATAAAATATATATTCGTTATTTTATGTTTTACTTTCTCGTTGACTGATATATGGTTGACAAATGACTGAAAAAACTAAGAATATTTCAAATATGAGGCAACATTATAGAATTTAGAACAAGCTATTGACTATATACTCAATAATAAGATATTGTTTGCTCACAATAGTATTATATAGATAATTTCTTGAAGAGGAAATGTTTAATTTTTTTTTGCATATATTTAAATAAGTTTTAACTAAAGTGTTACATATTTATTTCAAAAAGGTATTGAAAGTATTTGCTAAAGTACTTTATATGACTGCGTATAAAAATAATGATATTTTTGTAATGGATTATTTTAATCTCTAATCTATAAATTAAGTCATTATGATTTTCCTTCTTAAAGATATTATTAAATAATTTAAAATTTCTATATATTTAATTATCTAAAAATAAAATTTGATGAAAATTAGAAATCTTGGGTATTTAATAAAATGTTTTTTTCAAAAGTGACTCAAAACTTAAAATCAAACACAAAACTAATATTTTTTTTTGGACATTTCATTTGCTCAATCCACCCCAAATGTTATGATTATTCACAATAATGCTATTCTTTTTTGTTTTTTTATTTTTTTCAAAAATGATTATTTTACTCTCTCTTCCTCTTTTTTTTTTTGTCACAACTCTCTCTTCCTCATTTTCATCAATTAATCACGAAAATGTCATTGTCATCAACTTACCCAACAGTCATGAACAACCATGAACAACCAAAATGAAACTCTTAATGCATCTAAAAATTGAATTTTACTCATTCATTCTTATATCTTATGCCCAAAAACTACATCTCTCTCACTTATTATCTATATACATCCAAACAAATCTAAGCTTTTGATTCTAAATTTTTTAAGGGTCATATAGCCATTCAAGCTCACAATTGCTGGTCATTACCGATTGAGTAGCTATTCTGGTGAAGTTGTGACTAAGCTAGATCTCTCAGTGGTTGGTGTATGTATGAATTGAATTTTCCCCAGATTTTTTCGCTAGGATACGTAAATGTAAGTTTTCGTAAGTCTTCTGGTCAAAGAATAAGTTAGTTTTGTAATTGACTTTTTGTGTGTTTTTAGAGAAGACTGTCGTTGAAGTTTTCCAACTTTTCTTTCTTGACAAAAAAAATCAAGAAGACTTACCTGGAAGTCTTCTCGGATAAACATCTTAGTTTTTCAATTGACCAATCTGTGTCAGAAATTTGACTTTCTACGAAAGACTTCTTGGTAAATCTTCTCAACCTTTACATTAAGTCTACTGAAGTCTGCGTAGGTTACTTTTGCAATTGAAAATTTAAACTTAAAACATTTAATTTAAATTTAGAGACTTTCGGGTAAGTCTTCCGCCTGAAGACTTACCTGGAATTCTTCTAGATAAGTCTTCTGCTGGAAGACTTACCTGGAAGTCTTCTAGATTTTTATTTCGTGATTCTGGTCAAACCTAAGGTAATCAAAGAAGATGTACCTAAAATTCTTCCATAGAAAGTCAAATTTTGATATAGATTATTCAGGTAAGTCTTCTCAGGTGTTTTCAAGAATTTTTTTAATTACAAAAGTAAACCAATATTTACAAAAGAAGACTTCAAGAGAAGTCTCCTATATAGGAGATTTCTCCGAAAGTCTTCCTTTGCAAATTTTCAATTACAAAAATGACCTAAATGGAAGTCTTACCTGGAAATTTTCCGCCAGAAGACTTACCTAAAAGTTTTCCGCCATAAAACTTACCTGAAAGTCTTCCGCCAGAGGACTTACCTGAAAGTCTCCTCCGGGAAGACTTCCAGATAAGTCTTCTACAACAATGTATAATAGACTTTCATTTTCTTCAAATTTAAAATGAATTCTTAAGATTTTATTGTTAATTCATGTGTGTTAGACAATATTTGGGGTCATGGATGAAATTCATAACTTAATTGATGATAATTATGAAGTTATTAATATTCATGTTTTTAATGTTTCTATCTTATTTTAGAAGACTTATTAGGAAGTCTTCTCGCAGAAGTCTTCTCACAGAAGTCTTCCGTGGAATCTTCCACGTTAGTTTTTGTAAACTTGTATTTTGTAAGAATGTTAAGTAATATAAGATAAGTTTTTGAATTTTCAAAAGTGTTAAATAATTTCAAGAAAATTATAATGTGTACATGAAAATGAAGTTGAAAGAGTTAAATCTACTCATTTATATCTCAGTTGTTTATAATTACAAAATTTACTGGTTTTACTTCTTAAAATACTTTGTTGGTTTTACTTCTTAGAAGTTAAAAGTGATGAACAACTATTATAAATTAATGAGAAGAAGATGTTTATAGTTACAAACTTATATTTTTTGTAGAGTATCGGAGATCCAAAGATAAGAAGAACTACACAATGAACATCATGTTATGAATATTTGAAGGCTATTGAATTTTTTTTATTTTTGATTTGTAAAAGTGGAAAACAGATTGTTAGCACCTATATTACATATTGAGAAACATCAATAGTGATTTTACAAACATAAAACCATACTTTTATTTCTACTCATGTTTACTTTAATAATATCAAGGAATTTTGGACACTAAACATATTTACCATATTTTTCATTAATATTTCATCAAATTTACAGAAAAAACACAGCTAAAAAGTATACATACAAATCACAAAATATACTACAAACCAAACTATTATAGTTCATTCCTCCACAAAGACAAGCTTGCACTCAACTTAATATGAGAGAAGACGTCAGAAGACTTAAAACTACATCAGAAGACTTAAGACAACGTCAGAAGACTTAAGACTACGCCAAAAGACTTCCAAAAAAGTCTTATGAACGTCTTCTGAAAGTTTTTTGTAAGTCTTCCAAAGTCTGACTCAGATCTGAGAAAACCTGCAAAAACAAGATACATTGGTAAGAAAAATAAAGAGAAAATGAAAAATTGATAGAAAGTGTGGTATTTTCATGTTTAATGAGATTAAAGAGGGGTTGGAGAATTTTAGTTTGGAAAAAAAGATAAGAATTTTATGGAATAAGAGATTACTAAATGAAGAAAAATCAGACATGAAAACTTACCAAAACCCTCAGATCTGTTGTAAAAGAGAAGACATGAAAGAAGACTTTAAAACTACATCAGAAGACTTAAAACTATGTCAGAAGATTTAAGACTACGTCGGAAGACTTAAAACTATGTCAGAAGACTTAAGACTACGCTAGCAGAATTAAGACTATGCCAGAACATCTTCTAAAATTCTTCCAATATTTGACTCAGATCTGAAAAAACATGCATATCTAAAAACGTTCAAATGACATCAAAACAGAGAAAGAATTCAAAAATAATGTTTTAAGCTTAAATAATAACTAAAATAATCATCTTATGTTGAATATATAACTTATTAGAATCTAATATATAAAAGACATAAAAATACATATCAAAAATTTATAGATCTACCTTTAAATGAGTGAAAGATGACATCTATGTAATGAAAAAACTGCAAAAAACAGATAAAATAGTGAGAAACACATAAAAATGAAAAAGCTGTAATGTTTGGTGTTATCAAATTCAAATAGTTTAGAGAGAGGTTACAGAATTTTCGTGTGAGAAATATTACATTTTTGTTACCTTTATTTGAGAGGAAGAAAGAAAATGTGTAAATTTTTATTGATATAGGAAGACAAAAAAAAATCCAATTAAGTTAAATATTTTCGATATAGAAGACTTTAAAAGACTTACATGAAAGTCTTCCAAGAAGTCTTCTAGACTCTAAATTTACTATTCACCCATAAGACTTACTATTCGCCCAGAAGACTTACTATTCACCAAAAAG